TGAAGAGACAGGTTATATCAAAATAAAAACAGAGGTTGATGATAAAAATTAAACTTAGTAGAATAACTTTATTGTCTAATGTTTAGAATTTGTTGCAGGAGTAACAAACTCTCATGCTCCACAATTCCAGAGGAGCTGGTTGCTTAGTTACAAGACATTTGGATAAAGAACTGAAGTTAACAGTATAATAAAATATGACTGGTCAAAGATCAGAAAGCCAGGTGAATACCTAGCAACAAATATATTAATGTAAATTAATGAAAAAACTATGCTTGGAGAATAACACCACATCACAGAGAAAAGAAGTAGCTCTTATCATGACTCCTTTGATGAGTGTTCAGCAACGTCTTGGACACAAACCCTTTGTTGCAGATTTGACAATGGTAAGGTCTCTGCCCTGTATGATAGCGTTTATGCACAACAAGAGTAGAGCGCTGTGTGAATGACTTCCCACAAATGTCACATGAGTGGGGTTTCTGACCTGTATGGGTGAGCTGGTGCACTTTTAGAGTGAAACTCTTGGTAAATGCCTTCCCACACACAGTGCAGATACAAGGTTTCTCACCGGTGTGTAGTCGTCTGTGGAGTTTGAGCGAACGGCTGTTGGTCAGTGATTTTCCACAAACATCACACAAGAACTGAGTTTCGCCTGTGTGGGAACCGAGATGTGACAGGAGGTTCTTTTTGTATGGGAAGTTTTTCCCACACGTCTCACACTGGAAGCGTTTGGCATCCTTCTGCATGTCTGGGTGATTTGTCCGCTGATGTGTGAGCAGATTGGCCTTATACAGAAATGCTTTGCCACATATGTCACATTGGTGGGGTTTCTCACCAGTGTGAACATTGCTATGTGCTTGCAGTTCAAAATTAGTGTAAAAACCTTTACCACATAAGTGACACTTGAAACGGAACTCACTGAAATGTCTCCTCTGGTGAATTTCTAAGTAAGCTTTGTACATAGTAGCATAGCCACAAATGTCACAAACATGGTTCTTTGTACCAGTGTGCACTTTCTTGTGACCTGTGAGTTCATATTTCCGTTTGTATGATTTGTTACAAATCTCACACATGTATGGGCGTTCTTTAGTATGTGTTTTCATGTGACTTGTAAGTTGTTTGTTTGTTACAAATACTTTTTCACAAGAAGCACAGTTGAATACCTTTGGAGATACATGTGTCTTTATATGTAGGTCTAGTTTTGCTTTGCTCTTGTATGTCTTGCCACATGTTGAACAAATGATGGCACCTAATGTCTCACAACTGTTCTTGTGGGTAATGATTTGTTGTTTGCTGGACATTTTTCCACAGTCCCTGAACTTCTTGCTTCTATGGACAGGTTCACTGCTGGCTTTGGAAGGTGCTTTAGTTTTCAAGACACTTTTTTCCTTGGAGCCCCTTGTGCTCTCACCAAGACTCTGACTTGCAGACCTAGAAATAAAGATAAATTGATTGAGCTCTCTGCTCTCATCAATTATTTGTACACAATGTAAATTTCAAATGTAACTCCATGGTACAATGTCTTACTTGAGCAACTGATAGTTAGCTGATCAAGAATTCCTTTCTGCATATTTTCATAATGGAAACATGAAGATGTATAGCCATACAAAAGCCCACCATTAGACCCCACCCTCAGCCAGTGCATTTCAGTGTACATCTCCATAATTTACTCCTCTGAGTTAAATTATCAACATTTAGTACAAAATTCTCTTTCCCACACACCTGGTCCAGCTCATCTTTCTTGATTTAATCACTACACCAATATTAGGTTACAGTTATGGCTTTTCTCAATTCCTCTCTTATGTTCCTCCTCATTAGTAGGTTCACCTATTCTCAGAATTGTGCTGAAACACCCTCAAATTTATTTAGAATGGGAAAATTAAGTTTTGTGCTTACATGAAACAACAGGAAAAATTAGTATAATATAACAATAGTTTAATTTATAAAGATTAATTATGCATATGGAAATTTAAATTAAAGGGCACCAGATATCTTTGGAGTTCATGAAAAATAATATGTTTGTAGAGTTGTCCTATAAAGCATTAACAGACGTTTCTCTTGCAGAAGAGCCTTTGAAAACAACAAGATGTAAATTACAGAAGACATGTAGGATAAGACATATTTTAAAATGAAAATAAATTTTCATTATTACATTTACAATTATTTACAATTTATGAGGTGTATATGAGTTATGGAGGCATTACATTTAGGAATACAATCATAATACAGTTTAAGATAACTTTATTTCATGTTTCATTGTGAGTTTGTTACAACAAAACCAGTACACAAGACCAATATGTTATTTCACATACACATTTACATAATGATTTAAAAATAAATATAGGCTGGCTGACCTCAAATACCCATACCAAAAAATTCTGAAGCAGGTAATGTAATAAAACAGAATTTAAAGTTTGTGACTATCAATATAACCAACAACTTTAAAATTCATTACTCTGAGCCTTGATGATGGAAGCAGTATGACCTCTGAAACGTTGGTGGAAATCTACCAGACTACATGGTGCAACAACCCAGAAGATTGCAATCTTCAGACTCACCGCTGTGAAACCTCAAATCCCACAAAAAAAAATCTTGCCAAAAAGTATGCATGTTGGACTTATATGCAGTATTTATATAACTACAAATTTGTCTATACAAAGTGTCAATTTTCATCTTTTCCTATACTGTTTCATAGCTACATATTCCCATAATTAACTCCTACATTTTAAGTTCAATTGTAAATTTCACAACTACTAAATCCTAATATTCTGTGGTCCAGAGAGAGAGAGAAAGTTCCTTTAACACTGCAAACAAGTCAAAATATCAAATAGAGCATATTTAATTCAACAGAGAAGAACAGGAGCATCTAAGAAACTCAAGTATGTTGTAGTAATCAGGCCAAGAATGATAATCCTACTGTACAGACCTTTTCAGAATTTTAGATAAGAATGAATTAGTTTGGTAAACATCTTAATATGATTTATGATTTAAATTCTTCTGTATGTTACAATAATTCTTATTTAACTAACTTAATAATGAGTCTACTGTCAGAAAACTACAACTTTGTTTCACAGTACTCCTTCAGGAACTTACATCAGCATTATTTAAAAAATGTTACACTGAAGGAAGAAGTCAGAATGACAATCACACAAACCAAGTTAGTACAATACAACAGGGTGGTGTGATTCTGAACTGTCCACCAATTATATGAAAATCCTCTAACAGCAAATGCAATACAAGTTTGGTTTACTGTTTTCTGTGTGTACAAATGTAACATTTCACACTTTCACTAAACTTTCTTTGCTTCATATAGATGTCTTAACAGGAATGTTTTGTTACATTTTTGGATCAAAGCCATTGAACAATTTGAAAAAAGTTAACTAAAAATAATCATTGGCGGCCCATCCATAAGAGCTGCAGCACCCCCTATAATTTTTCAAAAATTAAAAAAATTATTTTTTGTATTTATATAATTTGTAACACTTTATTTCCTGTATATCATTATTTTAATATTGCCCCTTATGTTGTCATTACCCACTAATTGGATGAACTGACAGTCCAAGGGTGAGGAATGCAAAGAAAGGATTTCAGAGTGGCTAGCCAGTTAAAAGTAGAGAGTGGTGTAGTGACGGGAAGTTTGCTGGTACAGTGTGTATCAGGGCTACAAGGTTCGCAGATCCACTTGCTTGTCACAAGTGGACAGCGCAGTGTGAGGTGGAGTGAGGGGTAGTTCACTGGTACAGCATGTATCAGAGCTGAAGTCCCTGCAGCCGGCTTATAGTAAACACACTTTCCCAGTACCACATGTTTTAGACTGGTTTCTGTATTACAAACTGTTTCGTGGTTATTTATTGTTAATGAGTGTTCAATAACTGAAGTCCCTGCAGCCGGCTTATAGTAAACACACTTTCCCAGTACCACATGTTTTAGACTGGTTTCTGTATTACAAACTGTTTCGTGGTTATTTATTGTTAATGAGTGTTCAATAATTCTGTATGCTAACTATTTTTTGTTCTGATAATAATAATGAGCAAAGGAAGTGTATCATAGTTACAGCAAATTACTTATTCTAAATTGTCTTTGACTGATGTAAAAAATCATGGCAGCCCTCTTCCAGACTTACAAATAGTTAAAACATCGTCGAGCATGTATGGGTTTTCTCCTGATGTAAATTTACTTTTCATTTATTTATGTTGTTATGTGTTGAAAAACTATTTATCACAAAAAACAATGTATTTTCAAACCATGTATACCTTTCTCTCTTCAGTAGCAATTTCTTCAGTTAAATGTTTCACACTTATATCTTACAGAACTGTCTCAGCTGCGAAACATGGATATGTAAAAGGGTACCTCCGTCTTCTTAGTAACCACAGTTTGTATATATCTTACATATTATCTTCTGCACATGAGACCTATCTTTGTGCATGATGGATACACCAGTTTCTTGAATAAGTGGCACATATTAGCTGTCTTCCTCTTCTTTTATTGGATCACACAGACCACAGGCTTTTCCCTGTCTGAAGTTTCTCTTTGGTTGTGTGTGGATATTACTTTTTGACCGTTAGGACTCTCCAAATGTCCAAAAATTCATCGCCAACTAACCAGGCAATCATCCTCACAGGAAGTGTGGAGAATGAAGGAGTACACACCATTTATATCCAAATTCCTCAAAATGTGGTCATTGGCCATCTTATAATTTAACGCACTGGAAATAATTAGCACACTTCCCATCCAGTGAGTAACTTTAGCCTTCATGAAATTGTAGTAGTTAACAGTTTATAGTTTTTCTTTTGTAGGTGTACTTATGACACCAATATCACAGATTTTCATGTTTTGGGACATGAAACACTAATGTCATATCTTTTATTCAGTTAAAAAGTGATGAGCCTACTTTTCCTGACCTGTGTGCCAAGATCTCTAATAGAATTTCAATCCTGTTGCTCCTCAATGTTCCAGCATAGGTTTGCCCTCTCTTTTTCAATAACTGGACAAGCTGCATGGAAGAAAACCAGTTGTTTACTGTAATATTATGGGTTTTTCCTTGTAGATGGTAAGAAAAAGATCACAGATTGAGTTGGCTTTGCAAGATGCTGTGTGTCAGCTGAAAGATTTGTATCATCTGGATTCTTGCCTACAGAAATGTATCCAATGTGAAAGTAAGAATTTCTGACAACGGTGAGGCTCTTGACTTTTATGCCATAGTTAGCAGGCTTACTTGGTACAAACACTTTTAAAAAGCAGTATCCACAGAAGCTCACCCACATTTTTCCAACATATGCACAACCTCCTATAGAGTATACAGCCTGACAGTTACTTACAAGCTTCTAAAAGAAATGAGAGACTGGGGATGCATGATCAGACTTTCTGTATTCATCTCTGTCATTCAGGTTATCAAACCATAGCATCAAAATCAATACTGAAAATCTGTTTTCATTCATGATGCAATAAAAGCTGTCGCATCTGTAGCAAATGATTTGAAACCCTCATGGTTTGATCTGAAAAATGCAGTGTAAAATAACAGCTCTATAAATGTTCTTAGTTCAGAGGTAGCATCATGGATATCAGGCATGTTCTTATCTTTGTAATTTACTTCTTCCTTTCTGATTTTTACATTCATCTGCTGCTCAATATCCCATAGCATTATATCAATCAGTTATTAGAAAATTACATACCTGAAGTGGCTGAAATCATGATATGATTCTGGCTGGAGGCTGCAGACCAGGAAGCTGAATGAAGATGCCATACTTTGGCATCCTCCTTCTGCTGACAAATTGTTCCGCTACCCATTTGAATCTGTTTTTACCATAAAATGTTTTCCTAATTCAACTGTCTTCACCCGGTGAAGAACTTACCTCACGTAATTTTCAATGTCACCTGTTCCAGATATTACTGAATTCCCGTAATGGTCACTTGTTAAAATGGGTTCATTGCTATTTAGTTAAACATCAACATCATCATAGTCTTCATCCAACCACTCCTGTACTGTTTCAATAAAATTTGAGACATTTGCTAACACAAGTCGTGACGGTCCATCCTTAATTGCTATCTAATAAAGCTTACACAGAGGTATGGTACTGAAGATCACAAAAAGACATGTGCAGCTAATAAACTTCATACCTGCAGACCTAGGCAGTCACTGTCATGTCAAGTGAAACAATGTGAGTACTAAAGTAGGTAGATATGCATGGGTAACTGATGAAAATATAACATGGTAAAATGGCATTGTTAGCTTTTAGCATGGTCTGAAAACCACATCTCTGTATTTAAGGGTCAGCTCTCAATCATAAACAAACTATCAGAATGCAATTGTGCAAATGTTTCTACATTGACAAATTCTAAAATCAACAATATTTTACCCTATACATCATATTCACGGGATGGGTAGTGTCAATTACAATGAATAAGGCATTATTTGTTTGTGAAAAGCCACTTTGAACATATTTAGTAAATATTTAAGTTACAATATATTGGAAAACATAAGTTAAATTAACATAAGTTAAATTAACATAAGTTAATAAACAACTATTACTGCATATCAGTAATTGGTTGTTAAAAATCTAATCCCTATGTAATTTATCAAAGAAATCTCATGAGTAGGCTAACTACTATCAGTCATGTTGACTTTTAACATATAAAAGTTCAATTCTGTACAAGATAACTTCAGGGAATAGTTGTTAATTTTTACAGGTGGAAAAAGCATGCCTGATCATGACTCCTTTGATGAGTGTTGAGCAATGTCTTGGATACAAAGCCTTTGCTGCACACTTGACACTGGTAGGGTCTCTGCCCTGTGTGATAGCGTTTGTGCACAACCAAAGTGGAGCGCTGTGTAAATGACTTGCCACAGATGTCACAAGCATGGGGCTTCTGCCCTGTATGGGTGAGCTGATGCACTTTGAGAGTGAAGCTCTTGGTGAATGCCTTCCCACAAATGGTGCAGACACATGGTTTCTCACCTGTGTGCAGCCGTTTGTGGGCCTTGAGTGACATGCTGCTTGAGAGGGCTTTCCCACACACATCACAAATGAATTTCAGCTCCCTTGTGTGAGTGTTCATGTGTGATGTCAACGAGCTCTTAAAAGGGAAGTTTTTACCACAGACACTGCATTGATAATGTTTTGAATCCTTTCCTGGGTGGTTACTTTTCTGGTGCTTCCACAGGTTTGACTTGTAGAGGAATGCCTTGCCACATATGTCACACTGATGAGGCTTTTGATTTGTGTGAAAATTCTTATGTCCCTGCAGCTCTGAATTTGTGTAAAATCCCTTCTTACAGATATCACACCAAAACCTAAATTCATTAAGGTGTCTCTTGTGATGTACCTCCAGATTGGCTTTGTATAATGTTGAAAACCCACAGATATCACATTCATGTCTGCTCTCTGCAGTGTGAACAATCTTCTTATGCCCTGTGAGCTCATATTTACGTTTATAAGTTTTGTGACAAATATCACACACGTATGGACGCTCTTTGGCATGGGTCTTTACATGATTTTGCAAGTGCTGATTTGAGAAAAACATTTTATCACAAGCCTCACACTTGTATTCTTTTGGAGGAACATGGCTCTTCATGTGTCGCTTCAACTCTGAGCTTGAATGGAACACCACACCACAGGCACATTTGAATTCCTTTACAGTTCTGTGAATTCTCATATGTGATATGAGTTTGCTTTTAAGTGAGAAAGTCTTGTTACAGAATGTGCAGGACAGTGATTTGTGAGTCTGTCTATGACAGACTAGCTCCCACTTATGGAAACTCTGTCCACATTCTTCACACCTTATCATGTTCTGATTACTTCTCAGATATCTAGCAGACATTTTCTGGCTCTTAGCTTTGAGGATGATCTTGTCCTTGGTTTTGATTTTCTTGCCTCCAGATTTTCCAAAACTTGCAGACCTAGAAACAAGACAGACAAAACTGATCCATTATATAATAATAATATGCTGTGTTACTCTCATGCAATATTCACTACCTTAAAATACCTACTTCTGCCCTAAGCTGCTTCCATCATGTTTCAAGTGGCACACATTCAACATTCTATGCAAACAACTCTATGCTTCCCTCATACAATAACATAACATAAGGTTACATTCTGCCTACAGGTCCCATTTTCTGCACAGCAATCTTGTCTTGTCTGCATGCTGGGTATCACACAACTTGGCAAATATAAATTTTCAGAAAACACTTATCTCTTCAAAGGTATTCACCCTGTAGTAATCAATGCAAGTTGGATATATACAAAAACTGGAAAGGTGTTATTATTTGGAGTACACTGACATTCCAAAGGTGTTCTTCACACCACATCACACAGGCCATTGTTGCACTAATGTTAACCTTTGGTTATTCTTGTACTAATGTGATCTGTGGGCATTTTTTCTCCTTGGGACATTCTTGCAGTAATGTGATCAGGGCTAATTGCTCCTTAGGTCATTCTTGTGTGAATATAATATGAGCCCATTGTTGCACAAGTGTGCTCCAACAATGGCATATCTTCCCAGTGTTGCATAGCAATAACTCTTGTTCATGGATGTTGCCTACTCCCATAGGAAAAATGAAACCAACAGACAGATATGGATGGGCCCATAAGGTGTTCTTTGCAAATGGTACAGCACAAAGAGTACCTAATAAATATTCTTGTAACCCTTATTTGTATACATATATACACTGCCACATGAAGATCAAAATCTGTCTTGCATAATTATAACACTTTAACTGGAATCTGGGTTGTTAATGTGTTAACATGAATACAATGTGTGCAACTTTCTGTTCATTTTTTAGTCAAGTTTATAAATATTATGCATATGTTTATATAAACCCTCAGCAGATGCACGCTAGTATGCACAAGTCAATTGCAGAAATGAAACACAATTTACATCATTACATTCACATTATACAATTGTTACAACAATTCTATATTCCTCATGAAACAACACAGTACTTTCCCCCTTACGCAAAACTAGTAAAAGGAGGCAGCAACTTAAAAATTGTAATAAATTGCCAAACTCTGTTTCAAAATAACATTTATACTCTAGACATGGAGTAACTTTTACCAAAAGTGAAGCGGAGATAACAATAATAGAGAACAAGTTAGGAAATGTATGCAAAGTGAAGCGGAAATAACAATAATAGAGAACAAGTTAGGAAATGTATGCAATGCATAACATTTCTGGTGCATGTGCCAATATTTGACCTTTGTGAACAGCAGGGAAGTTCCTTACATAGATATTCCCCACCCAGTAATTTCTGTATACAAAAACATACAAGGTCTTCATGTAAAGTGCCCATTATTGTTGTTCAAATTTAAATAAAACCGGAATATTTTGACAAATTTTAGTAAAACTACCCAATACAAAATTTCACTAAATTCTGTTCTTCTCAAGCCATTACATATGCACAATTAACAGCTTAGCTGACATAGCTAATAAAATGCTGGTCAGAATAACTAGGTCTTTAATGTTGTCCTTACATGAATATTCTGAACATAATAGCACAGCATTAAGAACCATTTATTAATTATGTATAATTTTAAATAAAATTCCAGGCCTGAGAGCTATTACAATATACATGTTTGTATCAACATGGAGAAAAGTTATGAATGTGTGCACTTGGAAATATATCTGTAGTATGTGTGATATGTTTTTGCATATTGGAAATAACAGCAATAATAAACAAAAATTGGAATGTTATTTTGTAACTTCATCTTAATACTGTACAAAACTGTGCATGAATGCTACTACTGCTGATTAGATCAATATCTGTTCTGATAACTTAACCTACCCTACCCAGAAGATTGCTAAATACTTGATTTTGATTTCTTGTTAAATGTTATCTCAGTAAATAACAAATGATGACCATCACACAGGGACAAGTTTAGATTTCTTGATTGTAAAGTATTTTATAGCCACTTCAAATTCAGAGCTTATTCACAACTGTCAATATTTCAAACAACAATTCAAATCCAATATTAACAAGGAGACAAATGTGTTCCTCTGATTCTGCATATATATATATATATATACACACACACACACACACACACACACACATATATATACACATACATACACACACATATATATATATATATGTGTGTGTGTGTGTATTTATTGTAGATACAAATCTATGGTGTAAAGATTATAATGCACAGTGTCATAAATTATTTTTCTACGAGAATACAAGTGTGGTGTCTGTGATAAAATCCTTTCTCAAATGAGCATCTGTGAAATTACACAAATGATTCATGCTAAAGTGTGTCCATAAACATTGCCATAAATTTAAAACATTAATATGAGCTTACACACACCAAACAGAGTAATCCTCTTGCTATAGGCCAAAGGCTTTCAGCAATAAAATCACTCTTTATGCGCTGACATGACAAAATACTGTAAGTACATCTCAGTCCCTGCGAAACCACATTGTCACATAAGTTGCTGAAAGTGGTTAGCCCTTGTGTCTATGCAGAACTGAACACAATGATCCAAAATGCACTGTGAGCACAAATTTTTATGTTCAAAATTTGATGTAGAAATCTGTTCTTGTCCATTCTTCATACATGTTGGATCAAGTTCCTTCTGTATCTGTGGATTTTTTTCCAATACTGCCCTGTTTGTAGTTCTTTGTGGATGACGTCATTTCTTTTATGATCTCTCCATCTGTATTTGGCTGTTTTTCTTAAAAATTTCATCTCTGCTGTTGCAATTCTTGATTTGTCACGTTGTTTCATTATCCAGGTTTCGCATCCATAAAGAAGTGTAGGTATGGCCAAGATTTTATATATTTTCAATCTAGTTTGTGTTGGGGTTTTAGAGGGTTTAAGGATTTGATTAATGATGCCTGTAACTTGTAAGTATTTAGATAATTTTGCTGGGAGATCTTTTTCTGTTTCATACGATACTTTACATCCCAGATAGTTAAATGTGTTAATTTGTGGTATGATTGTGTTATTTATTACTATCTTGGATCTGGTCCTTTGAATGCCATGGTTTTGGTCTTGTCAGTAGAAAACTTTAAGTTATATTCCAAAGCCACCATTACTAAATTATGTACAGATTTCTGTAGTGAATTTTCTGAGTCAGTTATCAGGACTTGGTCATCGGCAAAAAGCATAGTTTTGACATCTATATTTTTGGAAAGTTTTAATCCATTTATGTCCTCATCATTCCACTCAGAGAAAATTTCATTCATATATATGTTAAACAATGTTCGTGAGAGAGGACAGCGTAGTCTTACACCTCTATTTATACTCACTGATTTTGTTAATTTTGAGTTCAATTTAATTTTTATTTCGCTGTGCTCGTATATCTTATATATGGCTTGTAATAATGGGTCAGGTATATTTCTCTTATATCTATCTATCAACTTGATCAAAAGTCTTTTCAGAATCCAGGAAAAGTAGGTGTGTTTCTAAATTAAATTCCCTCCTCTTTTCAATTAATAACTTTAAGCTGAACACAGCGTCTGTGCATGAACAGTCTTTCCGAAATACACACTGGGGCTCTCCTAGAAATGTTTCTGTATGAGCCTTTAATTTATTTTTTAGTATTTTTGCACACAAATAACAGATTCATATAATCCAAATTGGAAAGTGTATAGCAAAATACCAAAGAAAGTAACATGTTACAAGTTTAATGAGACAAAACAGCACAATGAGGTACCATAAAAAAACTTGTCATTATACTGTGTAAATGTTAACATTATCAGTCACTAATTGCATTTTTGTGCTTCAAGTTGTTCGTAATTTTTTAAGTGGTGCGGCATAAGATTTCCAGAAAACAATTCTTCAATGTTTGGCTTCAAGGCAGTAACAAGTCATGAAATGATGACCTCCTTACTTACGTCATTAGTAAATTTTGCCTTCAAAATTTTCCTATGATATCTAACACAAAGCAAAACAAACAGTAAAATGGTTTTGATAACAACTTAATGATCTTAATACCATCAAATTGTTATTTATCTACGCAAACTTCCACAAAAGAAAAGTGGAAGCTTATCTCATGATGTTCTGAATCTGTTGTTGAACCCACCAGCACACATCAGTGCTTTCAATGTGGAAATTATCTGTACAACTGACACAAATAGTGAAGAAGGTAGTTTTCACTCGGTTGTTTCATTAACTCCTCACTGTTCCTTTTTACTGTTTCTCAGTTGTAATAATCATTCATATAAATTTAACTTTGGAGGGCATGCCACAGAAGTCTAAATGAAAAGTAAATTAAAAATCGCCAGTTAATGTTTCATAAGACTCTTCCGTTTAAAATTTAAAAAAGAAGCACAGCCAACTCTCCTTCAGTTATTACATGCAGTTAAGTGGACAGTAGGACAGGCAGACATGACATCCCTTGTATATGTTCACTTTGTGGACTAAGTGCAAACAGTGCATAAATAACATATTTAATGTACTCAAGTAGAAACTAAACAACAATGAAACAGAAACAGTTATTCTTGGATTCAGAATTTTGCCCACCGAGAATCGGCAAATTTCACACTGCAAACTGTAATGAAGTAATAGCACACACCACATACAACAGTACCAAGGTTGGTGGATAAACTGTCAGGATGATGGAAACAATGGTATATGATAAGAAGTTCTCTAACACCATAACTTTTCTATTCAGAATCTTACAATTCTATGAAAAGTAATGATGCTAAAGCATGATTGTTAAATGAAGCATTATGATATTTGCCCAATTATTCTGGTACCACCTAAATACAAAGCACAAAAGAATTTAGCATCTATTAAATAAAGACAACTGCTCCTGACTTCAATTTATTAGGTGCTTTAGGTACAGTAACATTACAGTAATGTATGAATGTGTTTCATGCAATTGCAATGCCAAGTCTAATGAGCCAACATCCACACATGGTCGGATACCTCTGTTAATAGCATGGTATACAGT